ATAGATAAAAACTAAGCCTTACACTAAAACTCATTATTTCAGCTAGACAATTACCTAAGACAGTTGATAGCGGCCAGTACATGCCTATCAGCTAAAACCTAAGCATCAAAAGACTTTTCTATTCATATGGCCTTCAGCCGGAGGCCAGCTGCTTCTCAGCTACCAGAACTTTTTCTACCTAGAATCTTCTTAACACAGTTAACTTCATTTAAAAATTTTCTTAAGAAACTTCTGTAAAAAATGCAAAAGAAGGACTTACTATACTCATTGCCTGGATTGCTTGTCAGGCATGTCATGTATAACAAACTCTTTCCCATTGTCAGTCAGGCCAAATTTACAGTGTTTAATTTTTCAGGAGGTATTTCTCTGTGCCATGTGCTTATAATATTCATATACATATACTTTATTGCCCAATGTATTTTCTGAGAAGATTTTTCTTATATGACCAAGAACAAAAAACAAAGGGATGTTAAATCTTCAGCCTCATGGTGTGAGGTACAAGGAATCTTCAGCTCCACAGTGTGAGGCTCTTAGAAATGTTCGGCCCCACGGTGTGAGGCCCTTTTTCTTAGCTGCTTGCCAGTGTTTTACCAGGCTGGGGCAGCAAGGCCCCCTGCAGCAACAAACTGATGGAACTGAATAGAACATCCAGAAATAAACCCAAAGATCTATGGTCATCTAATCTTTGACAAAGGAGCAAAGAATATGCAATGGAGCAAAGAAAGTTTGATCAATAAATGGTTCTGGGAAACTGGGTCACTACATGCAAAAAAAATGAAGTTTGACTACTATCTCACACCATGCACAAAAACCAACTCAAAATGGATTAAAGAACAGACATAAGACCTGAAACCATAAAATATATAGAAGGAAATATGGGCAAAACACTACATGACATGCACCTCAGTAACATCTTTAAAGACACATCACTCAAAGCAGTGATAGCAAAGGCAAAGATAAACAACTGGGACTACATCAAATTAAAGAGCTTCTGTACAGCCAAAAGACAGTAACCAAAACAAAGAGACACCCCACTGATTTTGAGAACATTTTTGCATACAACACTAATGATAGAGGACTGATCACAAAAATCAACAAAGAGCAGATGAAACTCAACAAAAACAAAGTAAATAACCCAATCAAAAAGAAACTTTTTGAAAGAGGAAATGCAAATGGCCAGCAGGCATATGAAAAAATATTCAACATCACTTGTAATCAGGGAACTGCAAATCAAAACAATAATGAGATAGCATCTTATACCAATGAGAATGGCACATATTAAAAAAACTAGCAATAGCAAATATTGGTGAGGATGTAGAGAAATAGGAATATTGCTGGTGGGAGTGCAAACTAGTCCAACCAGCATGGAAAGCTGTGTGGAGGTTCCTCAATCTGCTACAAATGGAACTTCCACATGATCCAGCAATTCCACTCCTAGGTATTTACCCAAAGGATACAAAAACATTAATTCAAAAGGACATCTGCACCCCTATGATATTGCAGCACTATTTACAATAGGTAAGCTATGGAAACAGTCCAAATGCCCAAAAATAGATGACTGGATCAAGAAGATATGGTATATATACACGATGGAATTTTACTCAGCAATCAAAAAAGATAAACTCATGCAATTTGCAGCAACATGGACAGAGCTGGAAGGGATCATGCTCAGTGAAATAAACCAGAAAGAAAAAGAAAAATATCGGATGGTCTCACTCATGGATCTCTCACTAAATAAGAGATCAAGAAAAAAGACTAATTATAATAAAGTAAAAATCAAAATCAACAAGCAACTATAAACCAGAGACACACAACAGGGGAGGAGAAGGGAGTAGAATCAAAACAAGGGTGGTGGAAACTTTATCGGGACTATAACCAAGATGGAAATGCTTACAATGTACAAGAATGAAAAATGATGTAAAAAATATTTAAAATAAATTCAAAAAAATATAAAAAGTCAAAATCATTACAACTGTTTTCTATGATGATAAAGGCATCAAACCAGAAATAAACCATGAAAGAAAGCAAGGAATCCACCCACCTCATGGAGATTGAAACCCACTATGGGAGACCATTGGATTAAAGAGGAAATCAAAGAAGAAATTAAAAAATACTTTGAGTTGAATGACAATGAGGACACAACTTTCCAGAATGTATGGGACACCCTAATGGGTTTTTACTGGTCCACGGTGCCCTGGCAATTTTGGGATAAATTTATTTAATAAGAAAACATTTGTTTTAAGATTGCATTTATAAGAAATAATTGTTTTTTGACTTTAAACTGAGACAGAAGATTTACATTAGTTTCCAAAGTTCTTGTTTTTTGCCGGGGACCAGCCTCCGGCAAAATGTCATGTCAGGGGTTTCTGAAAGGATGCGATGGCCTCGGCCACTTGTAAGGGCTGAAACTTAAGGGCTGAGGGGAAGGGGATGAGGTAGAATGAGGAGACACTGACACTTGGTGAGGTGTTAGTATCTTCTGGACTCAGCAGGTCTTTATTTATTCATTATTAGTAATCAAAAAATACATTATCATGTGTAAAGCAGAAACAATTAGTGTATTATGTTCCCATAGACTACTGGCTCCTACAGGTCCCAGCTAGACAATAGCCTTCAAGGTTAATAGATAAAAACCAAACCTAACACTAAAACTTATTATTTCAGCTAGACAATTACCTAAGACAGTGGATAGCTGCCAGTGCATCCCTATCAGCTAAAGCCTAAGCATCCAAAGGCTCTTCTATTCATATGGCCTTCAGCCAGAGACCAGCTGCTTCTCAGCTATCAGAACTTTTTCTACCTAGAAACTTCTTAATACAATTAACTTCATTTAAAAACTTTCCTAAGAAACTTCTAAATAAAAAGGAAACTTCTAAAATACAAAAGAAGGATTTACTATAATTGTTATGCTGGATTGCTTGTCAGATATATACAATAAATTGTCTCCCATTGTTAATTGGGCCGAATTGTGTAGTAACTAATTTCTAAACAGGTAATTTTCCATGCCAATTGCTTGCAGTCTGCTGATACATATAATTTATAGCCTAATGTACTTTTTGGGAATTTTTTCTCTCTTTATGACCAAGAACAAAAAATGAAGGAATATTAGATCTTCAGCCCCATGGTGTGAGGCCCTTTAGCTTTGCTGCTTGCCAATGTCTTATCTGGCTGGGGCATTAAGGCCTCCTGCAGCAGTTTTTCATTTAGTCTCACTGAGAACAAAGGCAGCTTCCCCATCAGCTGCTGTGAGTCTCTCACTTTAGTCTCCAGCATTTTACCTCCTGCCTCAGTTGTGGCATAAGAATTGAAATCTATACTTCCCAACTTTGGCCAGGATTTCTTTGTTCTCTAGTTTATGAGCTGGCTAGGCAGTATTTCAGAAGGAGAGCTGAGGACACAGTCCAGGGATGAGCAGGCAGTGGAGGGCTCATTACCCACCTGCAAGAGAATGACAGGAAAAGCACCCCCTTTTTTGTCATCTCTGACCTGCAGCCAAAAGGCACCCCTTTTGGATCTCAGAATTGTGGGGGGAAGGTGACCTGCACCCACCAGGTGGAGCGAGAGATTAGTCACCCTTATCCATGCCCAGCAGTCTCTTGTCCTGCCTCTACTTCTTTCCAGGAGTCTGAACACACAGTCGGGCACCTGCCTGGAGGGTGGGTCTCAGGGGCTGGTGGAGACAGCAGGACACAGAGGAGGAGCCTTTCCCAGCTTCCAGGAAAATGTCTGAGGTGACTGAATGGAGGAGCAGGGAAGCCAAGGAGGGGATCCAGGGGCAGTCCATGGGACAGAAAATCTGTGAGGACAGACTCTGGGGCCATCTTGGACCAGCGAGTTTCCAAGGTTATGTCCCCAGTGGTGTGTGGGGAAAGGTGGGTGGAACTCAGGCTTGGGACAGATTTAAGAGTCACAGATTATTGATACAAAGCCATGACCACGAGACAGGGATGTGGACAGAGACCACCCTGTCCAGTATGAAGAGCTGTGGGGTCCTGGACGGGGAGGTTCCAGAAAGCAGGGAGCATCTCCTCAAGCCTGAGAGACAGAACCTGGAGACAAAGTAAACTCATTTGTTTTTCTAGACGTTGCAGAAAGATCAAACCACAGGCCTTAGCACAGGCTTTAGAGGAAATGAAAACCACCTACACAGGAAATAACATGAAAAGTTCTGCTCAGGCTCAACTCAGTGTCAAGGGGTGTTTTTCTTTTTTGGGGGCCCAAAGACGCAGACACCCATTTACACCACAGTCAGTGGGGATCAGTTATGGATTTTAATATTGTCCTCTGCTTAAGCGCAAGGAGGCAAATTGCCAAAAACAAGCTGGATGCAATCTGAACACTTTTGATGGTCATTTCAGCTAAAACCTAAGAAATAGTTTGACTGTCCCATTATTTTCCAAAGGTATGTAATTTGCATGCTGTTATATGAAATAATTTTTATTTTTATGTCTTCTTCAAATATTTAAGAAAAGTTGATGAAGTTTAAGGCTATAAGGTTTCTGGCTTGTGTATTTTCTGTTAATAACTTATTGTATAATGTTAAAGTAGTGCTCATGAAGGAATTAATGTGATTTGGGTGATTGCATACAGATTAAATATAAAGTGAAATCATTATTTTCTTCTCTTTTTTTAAAGATTTATTTTTATTTATTTATGCATACAAGGACTGGGGTGTAGGCCAGAGGTGTGAGAAGTGACAAGATTCACCAGAGAGAATGGGGAAGCAGAACAGGCAGATCTACTGAAATACACTGCTGAGGGGAGTCACTTTGGTGGCTATGAAAGCCGAGTGCTGGAGAAACGGCAGACAGAAAACCCTGAGGATTGGATTGTAGGGTAAGTGGGGGAGGAAATGTCAGGCTTTTCCACCCTCCCACTGCGCATGCGCACTCAGCCAAACAGCGTTGCATGTGTGGCTTTACATACATTGCGTGCGTGGCTTTGCGTGCGTGGCTTTGCGTGCGTTGCGTCGCAGCACAGTGCATTGTGGGGTGGTGCCAAACACGGAAGAGTGGAATTTTAGAGTGCGATGGACTGTGGCAAGGACTAAAAGCGGAGAGCTTGAAGACACAAACAGGGCTCCTAGAACCGGTAATGGACCTCCCTGGTATGGGTTGGTTGTGGGACACGTTTGTTTTTCCAAAAGAAATGATCATCTATGCTCTAGTGAAATTATGCTTCAAACATTGTCTATGGCCTAGAAATACAAGTTTTTCTAATAAAACTGATAAAATATTTACCATAGATATAAATGGTAATATATGGCTGTGAAGGTATGAAAACAGCTAAGCTGCTGCTTATGATTGACTAATAGTCTTGTGGATGAAAGGAAAAGAGAGAGTTAGAAAACTTATTTGTTGAAAGATCAAAGATGAATAACATATATCGACTTCATATTTACATTGGGCTATAACATATTTTGGAGTTTTGCACTGTAGGGGCAGGATGGGCACAGAGCAGGTTTCTATGATTCCAGCAGACTTGGATAAAGGAGAGTCCTGGAGGCCTCAGTGGCTTTCTCAGGCTTTTACTGAGCTTTACATGTAGTGCAGCAACCAGGTATAGGGCAGGCAGGGGTGCCCCAGGGCCAGAAGGCCAGCAGGCCCCCATGCCCCAGGCAAGTCTTCACTCTGAGCTTCTCTGACTTCTTTCTCCCCTTCTGGCTTCTGCCTCTCTCTCCTGGCTGCTTCTCCCGGTGACTATCTCAGTACTCCCCCCATGGTGCACAGAAGTAAATAAGACTGCTTGCAATAAGTTGACAACTGCAGGTGCCCTATCAGGCAGGGCAATCTTAATGGTGGGAGGGCAGCAAAGCCTGAAAACCATTTACTCTAAGTGCACCTATAACCTCCCCCAAAAATATGGGTTGAAAATTCAAAGTTATCAGAGTAAATATAATAAAACAAATAACTATGAAGATGAATCAGTCCTGGGCTCTGTTCCAAGGAGAGTGTGGTCACAGGAACGTGCTGAGAATGGAGGGGCCGGGGAGGCTTCAGATTGGACTGTGGTAGTTACCAAAAGGAGGGAGGGTGGATAAATTATATTAAGTGTGACACGTCATTAAATTATTTAAATGTTCATTGTTTCCAAGAGAAGAAAAGAATAAATCATAATGTTTTCGACAAGGGTCTAAACTCCTCTAATAGTATACTTAAGATTTGTGCATTTCTCCAGATATTTATTTCAAAAAAAAAATTCTTTACCCAATTAGAACTCTAGTAGTTAATTGGAATGCTCAAGTGTAGACAAATTTGGAATGTGGGACCTCCCTAGTGACACAAGGGATTAAGTCTCAGCACTATGATGCTATTGGCAGCAAGAGTTTGAACCCCAGCTGTGGAGTTAACCCATATATGACGCAGCAGACCTGGCCTGTTTTGCCCACTGCTCCTCTCAGCAGTGTAGATCTACCTGCTCTGCTCCCACTGTGTCTCTGGTAAATCCTCTCACCCCCATACCTCTGGCCTGCACCCCAGCTCTTGTATGCATAATAAATAAAATAAATCTAAAAAAATTTAAAAAAAGAAAGATTCTGACATCTGCAACTAACTTTGAAATGCATCAGAAAAATAAGATGGATGACTAGAGAGACGGATCCATAGATAAAGATAATTGATAAAGCAAATGTGGCAAATGCTAATGCTGGAATCTAGGTGGTGTGCTCTACCCTATTATTTCAATTTTCCTGTGTGCTTGAAATGTTCATAAAATACCACAGACTGAGTGGTGAATGGGGCCACATCCTGGGGACAGGTCAAGGCCCTCAGCCTGTCCTCAAAGCTTTGAATTGCACCCATTTTTCTGAATTGACTGGAGAATGGATGAGCACTATGAAGCTGTTTCATGTGCCTGTCAGCCTGGCAGAAATCATGGCTCTGTCTGGAGTTTTTTATGTCTCCTCAGTGTCAGCTCCCAACACGCTCACACGTTTGCTTCTAGGAGGTTCTGCAGCAGCTGCTCTCTGGACTTGGCCTGATCCATCGTTATTGACACCTGCATCAATTGAGATGCTTCCTGTTAGAATTTTTTATGTCCTCCTTGATGAGAATCATGTGTTCTTTCAGAAAAGTTGTCTCCTGTGCGGGGCTTAGCCACCACAAGCACGGGGCATGTTCTGAAGGGCCTAGGGACTTGCTTCCTCCTGGTGCTTCAGCTCTTGGGTGAGCAGCTGCAGCCTCCTCCCCAGGGAGGCTTGTCACTGTCTCCCAGCAGCCTTTCTAGGGCCCCTGACTGTCGCCCTGCTCTCTGCTCCTTCACCTGGAATCTTTCAGCCACGATCTTGGAGAAGTCCCTGCCCACACCACCCAGGTCTCTTGTCCAGGCCTTGAGAGCTGGCTCTGAGTGCAAGGAGGCCTCGGAGGTATCCCCTCAGATCCACAGCACAGACATTTGCCTCCCAAAGCCCCTCTGGCAGGTTGTTGAGATACACAGCAGAATCATGAGAACCAGTCACAACTGAGCAGTGAGTAGACCAGGATACTTTTCTTCTCTGCAGTTATAATTATCTTGTTCCCTCACTAGCTTAGTTCAAATTTTGCTTAATCTTAATAACACCCAAACCCTCCCCAGGGTCAGAATCTCCATGGACATAGCACATACCCCAGCCATTCTGCCTGCTTCATCCTGGGCAGTCCCCTGTCACCCAGTCTCAGTCCTGCCTCCGGGTCTGGTCCTGCTCACCTGGGCAGGGCTGAAGGCCCAGATCCCTCACCTCACCCTTGGCCTCTCTCCTGTCCCCGCTCCCCTCTGGTTGATTTCCCGTGTCCTGTTCTCTGTGTCCATCATCTCTGTCTCCCTTTGCCCACAGTGTCCTTTGCCCACTTAGAGGAGGGACGTGGACAGGAACCCCTGAGACCACGCACAGCTGAAGTGAATGTCTGTGCCCCCAGTGCCTCCCTCACCTGGGCCTGACATGGGGTCTGGGCTGGATACCCCTGAGGACTGGGCAGGCCTGGCTCCAGGACCTTCTGGCTTCCAGGCCTGAGTTGTCTCTTGAGGGCCCCAAGGTCTGTCCTTCTCCAGTCTCTTTCTTATACAGCGGGTCATGGTGTGGGGCTGCTCATCCTCTGTAGGAGGAACTGGGTAGGACACTCAGCTTGCATGTTTTATCTGTGAGTGCTCAGGGATTTTCTTGATTTTTCTTCATCATTTCCACTGTCCTTTCATTGTATTATTAACTAGTTGGAATTTCCTGGTCGATAGACTCATTTTGTTTTTTTAAAAAATATTTTATTTTATATAATTCTTACATCATATTTTATTTTTGCACAATGTATGCATTTTCATTTTGGTTCTATTGCCCATACAATTGCACCCCCCTTATTTTGACCCTAATCCTTACTGTCCCCCGGCCCCAAGCTGTAGTGTGTCTCTGGTTTATAGTTGTTTGTTGATTTTGATTTTTACTTTGTATTAATTAGCCTTTTTCCTAGTCCGTTATTTAGGTTTTCTAAATTCGTACTATGAGTGAGACCATCGGTATTTCTCTTTTTCTTTCTGGCTTATTTTGCAGAGCGTGATCCCTTCCAGTTCCATCCATGTTGCTGCAACTGCCTGTGTTTATCTTTTTGAATTGCTGAGTAATATTCCATTGTGTATATGTACCACATCTTCTTGATCCAGTCATCTATTTTTGGGCATTTGGGTTGTTTCCATAGCTTAGCTATTGTAAATACTGATGCTATAAACATAGGGGTTCACGTGCCCTTTGTAATTACTGTTTCTGTGTCATTTGGGTAAATACCTAGGCATGGAATTTCTGGATCATATGGAAGCTCTATCTTTAATAGGTTGAGGAATCTCCACACAGCTTTCCATAGTGATTGGACCAGTTTGCTCTCCCACCAGCAGTACAGTCACATTTTAACATGTGCCATTCTCACTGGTGTAAGATGGTATCTCATTGTAGTTTTGATTTGCATTTCCCTGATTACAAGTGATGTTGAACATTTTTTCATATGTATGTTGGCCATTTGTATTTTCTCTTTGGTGAAGTTTCTTTTTAGTTCTTCTGCCCATTTTTTGACTGGATTATTTGTTTTTGTTGAGTCTCATCAGCTCTTTGTAGATTTTTGTGATCAGTCCTTTATCATTAGTGTTGTGTGCAAAAATGTTCTCCCAATTGGTGGGGTTTCTCTTTGTTTTGGTTTTTGTCTCTTTTGCTGTGCAGAACCTCTTTAATTTGATGTAATCCCAGCTGTTTATCTTTGCCTTCACTATCACTACTTTGGGTGATGTGTCTGTAAAGATGTTTTTGAGGTACATGTCATGTAGTGTTTCACCTTTATTTCCTTTTGTATATTTTATGGTTTCAGGTCTTATGTCTAGTTCTTTAATCCATTTTGAGTTGGTTTTTGTGCATGGTGTGAGGTAGTAGTCAAGCTTCATTCTTTTGCAAGTAGCGACCCAGTTTTCCCAGCACCATTTATTGAACTAACTTTCTTTGCTCCAGTGCATATTCGTTGCTCCTTTGTCAAAGATTAGTTGACCATAAATCTGTGGGTTTATTTCTGGATTTTCTATTCGATTCCATTGGTCTGTATGTCTGTTCTTGTTCCAATACCATGCAGTTTTGATGATTATGGCTTTGTAGTATAGTTTGAAGTCTGTGAGTATGTTGCCTCCATTCCCTTCTTTTTTTTTTTTTTTTCAGGAGAGCTTTGGCTATTCATGGATTTTGGTGATTCCATATGAATTTCATCAATAATTGTTCTGTTTCTTTGAAGAATGTCATTGAAATTTTGATTGGAATAGCATTGAATCTGTACATTGCTTTTGGTAGGATGGCCATGTTGATAATGTTAATTCTTCTAGTCCATGAGCAGGGGATGTCTTTCTATTTCTTTGTGTCATCTTCTATTTCTTTTAACAGTGTTTTATAGTTTTCTTTGTATAGGTCCTCTACCTCTTTTGTTAGGTTTATTCCTAAGTATTTGATTTTCTTTTGTTTCATTAATAAAAAGGATTTTTTTTTATTTCTTCTTCTTCAGATTTATTGTTTGTGTATAGGAAGTCTACTGATTTTTGCGTGTTGATTTTGTGTTCTGCCACTTTACTAAACTGATTGATTAATTATTTTTTCTGTGGAG